TAAACTTCTCCTCCCTGATCTCCTTTTCCCTAACCTCCTTCTTGATCTCCTCTCTGATCTTCTTTTCCCTGATCTTCTCATTCCCTATCTCTCCTCCCTAATCTCATTTTCTCTGAGTCAACTCTATAAAAGCCCCCTGTTCCTGTGGATAGGCAGAATCACAGCCTTTGGGACAGGAGTCCCATGTGTTTCTCCTTTGCTAGCAAAGAATAAACCTCTTTCCTTTTCTCAAGATGTTGTCTTTGCTATTGGGTTGGCATCAAGGACAAGGACCAAGCCTTTGGTTACAAGCTGAGGTCTACTTCATTTCTGTACCTTATTATGACTTGTAAGAGCTTAAAGTTTTTTTAGTGAATAGAAGAGGAATTTAATAACATTTTTCTAGAAGTTCAGATGAAATAGCAGATGTAAAATATAAAGCAGAACACTTGACACATAGTAGACACTGAAAATTGGTCTTTCCTTTCATTTCCATTTCTCCCACCCCCACCAATGCCCTCCTCACAACTGCTTTCACCTGACCCTGTCCCCTTGTGTAAGAGGCAAATTCAGAGGAATTTGCAGAGGGTGACCTCTTCCTGTAAGGAATGATGGGACTCTGATGTGAAATGCACGTTTTAAGAGAAATAGACTCATCAATGAGGACTTTTTATTAGTGATGACCTCATTTCCTTGGAACACTTGTAATAAATTAGCTTATTCATTAATTATGTGATAATTGCTTTTTGTTATAGTCTGAAACTCAATAAACACTATTGAAAACTGCTAATTACAATTATAACAATAATAGACATTGAGATCAACCATGAATGTTATGGAGCCTACTCAATAACAAGCGAGAAAAAAATGTTAAAGTGCAAATTCAGTTCTAGGAGAAGTTAACTTATTAAAATCATTTAAATATAAATGCATGGCCAATTTGAACAGCAAAGACTATTTTGACCACCAGAGGGAGCTCACACTTTTAAAAACCCCAAGTTTTCACAACAGCTACTCCAAGTTTTTAAATCAGTAATGATGTTGTCCTGAGTTGGTTTTGGAGGCTTCTTATACTACCAACATGCCAAAGGGATGAGTAAGTGGCAAAAAAATTGTTAATCGATGTAAATATATTCGAAGTGGCTACAAATGTTTTAAAAGATGATTTTGGATCATATATTGTGAAATTATGAATTTAATTTAGTTTTTATTTTTTGCCCCAAACATAGTATTTTTAAGATACTTTTAAAAGCCATGTTTCCCCCAAAAGTGATAGCTGTGGAGTTAACTTATTTTGTTTTCAAGGAATATGGGAGTCTGGTGTCATAATTTCATCACCATATGCATATAAAGTGAATAAGCTCAATGCCACTGCCACAGCCTGATTTATAGGTTCATTGCTCTTTCCCTGGATGGTCATGATAATTTCTTCATTGGTTTCTTCACCCTCCTTGACAACGCCTGTGTAGTGTCTCCCCAAATGCAGTTAACTTTATTAATCACTTTCAGACTAATTTGGGAGTGCCGGGATTCAACCAGGGACTCACACATGCTAAGCACACTGAGCTGTGCCCCTAGCCTCCAGACTAATTTTCATAAAACATGTTTTTGATCACATTACTTTTCTGCTCAAGAAAATAAATCAACAAACTAACACTTGGCATTAAGATCCAACTTAATACTCCCCTCTCTTCAGGCCAACCAGCTCCAGGCTGGAATAACCCTCTCTCCCTGTCTTTCTGAGTTCCCATGGCACTTCTGTTCTTATCTCCTTACTCCTTTATGATGTAATTGCTTGTGAACATGTTTTAGACCACCTCCAAAATCAGCTTCCTTAAAGTCACAAGTCCTTGCTCAGAAACCAGTGGGCAAGCTTGTCTTAGCAGGTAGCTGATGGTGAAGGCCAGCTCAAGAGACTCCAACTTCGGAGACATTCTGAGGTGGAACTGATGAAACTAGAAGTTCTAGCAGCATAAAAAAGCCACTCAGAACTTACTGACTCCCATTAACAGTTTATTATTACTCAAGAGTCTGAGGGTTGACCAGACTCATGTAATTCTTACTTGGAGGCTCAAATGCAATTACAGTTAGGTGGTAGCTAGGCTGTTCATCTGAATGCTCCACCAGGCGGAAGGTCCAAGATGGTTTCTTCTACATGTCTGGCCACCTGACCCAGGATGGCTGAAACCTTTGAGCACGGGCCAGGTATTTTACTCTCAATCTATGGCCCCTTATGGCTAGCTCGGGCTAACTCAAAGCATGGTCATCTCAGATTGGACTTCTTACATATGGTCTGGCTTTCCCTGGAACAAGCATTTCAAAAATCCAGGTGGCATTGTCCAGACTTCTTATGCCCTGACCTTGGGAATCACACAGCATTACTTCCTCTATATACCGCCAGCCCAGATCCAATGTGGGAAGGGATCTGGAAATACTGGAAACCATAATTCCCCATTAGGCCATCTTTGAAGCCTACCTACCTTACCTGCTGACATTTTCTTTTTTTTTTTTCCTGCTGACATTTTCCATGAGGAAAATATCTTTATTTGAAATGTGGAAGGCAGAAGCCAAAAGTAGGCCATCCAGAAGTGTTGGAAAAGATCAGGGTGACAGAAACTTTTTTTTTTTTTTTGTACCAGGGATTGAACCCAGGGGTGTTTAACCACAGAGCCACATCACCAGCCCTTTTTATTTTTTATTTTGACACAGGGCCTCACTAAGTTGCTGAGCTGGCCTTAAACCTATGATCCTCCTGCTTTAGCCTCTCTATTTGCTGGGATTACAGGTATGTGCCACTGTGTATGGCTAGAAACTTAACACAAAAGGTATGGTTAGTCACTTGTTTAATATAAATGTGGACATTCTTTTATACTCTTCTCATGGAGGGGTAGGATCTATGTTCTTTCCCCTTGAAACTGGACAGAACTTTCTGTTTTGTCTAACAGAGTATAGCAGAATTGATGCTATGCAAATTCCAAAACAAAATCCAAACAGGTGATGCATTTTCAAACTTTAGCATCTGGGAAATCTGACTTCCTTGAGACTACCATGCTATGAGGAAGCCCACACAGCCTGTTCAGGAGACTATATAAAGAGATTTTGAGACCAGATGAAGAAAGAAGGACACCTGTGAAGACTTTCCCAGGATCCTGACCCACAGAAACTGTGACATAGAAAAATGTGTGTATTCAGGTGACTTTACACGTAGCAATAAATAACTGAAACAAATGGATTGAGAAAACTTTGCATTGAATGACAACATGATCTGCCTGCCTGTTCATCTTTGAGCCTTTGTTTCTAACAAGGTAAAAACTTCCATTATAGAGCTCTCATTACCCATCTGTTCCCTTCCAGAGATACTTGCTGAGGCCTGCCTGACAAAGCCTGCAACCTTTGGTTCTGCTGCTGCACCTGCAGATGCATGTGATGACTGCTATGGGTCCACCTCACTTCTACCACATCTGAGCCAGTTTCCAAGCAGGAAACTTGCTGGGAGTTGAGATTTAGATACTACCCCCTGGTACTCCCTGACCAATTTTAGATATCTCTTCTAAGGAAGAAAGACTATTGTAACTCCTAGAAGCCAAGTAGATAGAGTCTTCCAAAACACTGTGGCCATTTTCCTCAGCTCATGATGACTTGCCAGGGCCAGGGCCAGCCTGCTGTCCCCACAACCCACTCATCCAAGCATAATTTCTCAGCCTTCCATCAGTAGGTCTCCATTCATCTCATTCTATCCACACTGAAGCAAATTAAAGCCATTTTCTTTTTACCTCTATTTATAAGGAGTCTGACTCATAGTCGGGTAGGGAAGGGGAGCAAGGGAGCAACAGACAACTCTAGGTAAGGTAGAGGGGTGGGGGTTATGGGGTTAGAAATGATGGTGGAATGTGATGGACATTATTATCCAAAGTACATGTATAGAGACATGAATTGATGTGAATATACTATGTATACAACCAGAGATATGAAAAATTGTGCTCTATATGTGTAATAAGAATTGTAATGCATTCCGCTGTCCATATATAAATAAAAAAATAATACTACTAATAATAAAAGACCAAGGGAAGGGAAGACAAAGGAAAGAAGGTAAGGGTCAGGAGACAAGACACTGGCATGTGCAATGAGACCAGGAGCTCTGGATGTGATCCGATGAGGTAATGTGAATGTGGTCATCCCCTGTAAAGGAATGGGTGAAGGGACAGAAATATTGAATATACCCTGTTATTCATTTATCATCATCATTTGGATTTGATATGGGATGGGGACTGGGAATTCTTGGTCTATTTGCTCTAGAAAGATGTTTAGATTTTCTCCCATGGTTTTCAGCAGGTAGAAGGAGTCAACTGGGGGCACTAGAGAACCAGCTCTATGTATCCCTAATGGTCCTTCTTGGATGAAATTGAAGGCTGTATTAAGATTTAGGGTGAGCAGGTAGGATGGAGAAATAACTTCAGATACTTTTTTTTTTAAATATGTTTTTAGTTGTAGATGGATACAATACCTTTATTTTATTTATTTATTTTTATGTGGTGCTGGGGATCGAACCCAATGCTTCACACATGCTAGACAAGTGCTCCACCACTGAGTCACAACCCGGGCCCAGATAGGTCTTTTTCACCCCTGTCTTAGGCTGAGTATGGAGTGACTGGTTTCTTTAGCTTTTGATGCTTTTTTTTTTTTTTTAACTCACTTAAAGGTTAAAGACTTGAAATGAGTCCTGTAACAGAAAAGCCTGGGAGGAAATAGTGTTGGCATGGTGGGGTGAAGCCAAGATTGGAGGGACGCCAGTGCCCAGGCCCGCATGGATTCCTTTTGTCCTTCTCCCTGGCTAAATATTGTCTCTGAAGCACAGTAGAACATTCTTAAGGGAAAATAATGTCCGCTGACCTCATTCCAAGAAAATCAGTAACAACATCCAGTCGTCTTTAAGAGGAAAGACGCTGACACTGGGAAGAGACACTACATTTAGAGAAAGTGCCAGAGCTAAAAGTCACTTTCAGACTCCCCAGTGGGATCTGGGGGCCTTCAATAAACAAAGGCTCTGGTAGGAAGGAAAACGGGGAATCAGCAGAGGGCTGGTAGATTGCAGCAGAGCAGGGACAGTCGCGAGATGAAGACCTGGGCCCAGGGACCCCTGGTTCTCTTCTCCAACAACCCTTGGTCCCTTTTTTATGAAGCAAGGTTTCAGAGGCCACTCTCTGGCCTGGGTGACTTGGGTACCTCTGGAACTTTCCAGGTAGCCGCGAAGGCAGGTTTTGCACTTGTATCTGGGGGAAAATCGGAGGTGCTGAAAGCAGTGGAGATGAAGGGTACCAGAGACCGTCTTGCCAAGTCCTTTCCCAGGCTTTCTGACTCTCTAAGAATGAGGAGAATGCCTTGTTCTGTTTCCTGCCATCAGTGGAGCCCTGGCTCGGGAGGAGGGAGAGTGCGCATTCTGAGAAAACAAACGCACAGGAGAGAAGGACCAGAAGGAGGAAGTGCCAGCTAGGAAACCCCAGTCCTTCAGGGATCCGCTGCACAGTTCACGAGCGAACTGCTTCTCGCAGGAAGTAAGTGAAGCACAAACAGGATCTGAGCGAGGTTGCTTGTTTGGGAATCCAGGAGGCCAGGGCGGGGCAGCGGTGCTCGGGTGCTGCGGCGTCAGCGCCCCCCAGCGCCTCCCAGCGCCCCCGCCGCTGTGCAAAGCCCGGCTGAGCCCCAGCCCTGGGGCGGCTCAGCCCTCATGGAATTTATATCAGCGGAATTTCTGATCCCAATGTCAGTTACCTTCCTTGGGAGCTGCCTAGCGGGTGTGATTTCCTACGGGAACTTATGTGATATGTGTAGAATATTTTTGCTCAGTTTTAAACGTGATCTGTTGGTTTCCTATTTTATGAAAATGCCATTGCCTGAATTGATTATGCTTCAGTGTTTTTTCGACTAACTTCTCCAGTATGTGAAATGTAATAACCAGCCTGAGCCTGCTGGCTGAAGGCTCATCCTTCCATTTTAGCTGAACAGTGGATAACCAGAACTTTCTTATGTATGGTTTTAAGATGGTTTTAGGCGTTAAGATGTGAAGAAATACCCACGGGGTTTTATCACTTGGTATTCAGTACCAGTAGATTACTGAATTTAGGTATTAAAAAGAAAGAAGAAAAATAACATAGGTTAAGACGTCAAAAAAGGCATCTCGCTCCCAGTTTTAAAAAATGGGGACTTGTGCCTGGTGCAGTGGCACCTGCCTGTAATTCTAGCAACTGGGGAGGCTGAGGCAGGAGGATCATAAGCTTGAGATCAGCCTTAGAAATTTAGCAAAGCCCTAAGCAACTTGGACGCTGTCTCAAAACAAAAAATAAAAAGGGCTGGGGATGTAACTCAGTGGTAAAGCGCCCTTGGGTTCAATTCCTAATGCCCCCCCCACACACACACACACACAAAGAGGACTTCTTTCTTAGGTAACACTTCCCACTGTTCCACAAAAGTTGGTGCCTTTCATTTGACTTAACTCATCCCATTTCTATTTTCCAGATCTCCAGTGTAAACAGAATTCATCAACTAAAAAAAATGAGGGGAAAAATCAAACACACTGATTAAAAACAAACAAAATTTTAAAAATTAAAATAAAACCCTTCTTCTAAAGACTTTTTGAGTGGCTTCAGCTTGTGCTCACCAGATAGCTACTACCTTCTCTGGCTTTCTTTGCTCTAGTACTCTGATAAGCTACATTGCTCTCTTGTGTGCCCCTAGAAGGGGGGATGGGAACACCTTTATACAACAATGGGGTTGGGGTCAAGGAGCAAAGGGAATGGCAGCTTTCCAAGTTCAACATGGGCAAGTTTTTATCCCAAGGAATTTACAGACTGCTTCCGCAGCACAATGATACTACAAGATACAGCACAATGATTTCTTTGCATGCTTCCTGCACATTCCACAGAGAGGGCCTGGATTTGGGATGACCTGTTTTGACATTTTCCTTACACTTTTTTTTTGTTCTTGTTTGATAATCTAACTTGAACTTCTTTTTTGGAAACAATCACCTGGCAAGGATTAATCTTAGATAGCACTGGGGAGTCACTAGACACAGCTGGGTTCTTACATGGGTAGAATTGTCTCTTTTAAATGGAGTGCCCTGCAATGATTGGTGGGAATTCAGCTGACTGTGGAACAATCCTTTTTGCACAGCTGTTGGTCAAGGCAGTGCTTCATCAAAGTGATAGAAGCTGCAATAGAAATTTATGACAATTGAAGATCACTTAACAAAATGTGTCAAATGACTTTATTTCCCTCCTTTATCCCATCTACTCTGGAAGCCGAGGCATGAGGATTATAAGTTCGAGTGAAGCCTGGGCAATTTAATGAGACCCTTTCTCAAAATAAAAAATAGAAAGGGATGGGGATGTAGCTCACTATTGAGTAATTGCTTACCATGTGTGAGGCTCTCTAGTCAATCCCCATTACCTTAAAAAAAAAGCTATATTTCTATATTTGCTTTCATTGGAGACTCATAATATAGATTTAAGCTGCCCAATTTCAACCACTAGAGAGGCAAGCTGAACTAGATACTTCTAGTCCACTCAGTGGTTAATGATCTGTACTGAGAGCTTCCAGAAGACTAACTATTTGGTGCTCATCCAGCAGTGTTATGTTCTAATGTTGAAGGAAAACACAGCTACTCTTGATTTACTTAGAAACTGTGTGGTAGTATCCAGTATAGTGCATTCTAAAATAATTTAACATAAATTTCAGCTCTGCATGGTTTCTATTACACACACATAAGACATGATTCCACATGGGCATATAGCAATATTCCAGGTCTGTCTGAATGTTAGTAATAGGAATTTATTTGTATCAGGACATGTTTGGATAAGCTTCCAGAAAGTCCATTGGTATGAAGGCTCAATTAATTTTCCAGGAGAGATAATTGTTGATATATCAGGAGTCAAAGACTCATCCCTCCATTTCCTGAGCTTGAGAGAGAGGTAACGTGATTGTACCATTTGAAAATAAGAGTGTCATCAGCAACTATTCAGCTAAAGGATATTTTATTGGCTATTTTTGGTTTAGCATTCCATTTTCTAACCTACTGCAAAGTAGACTGGAAAATTAGAAAAATGTATGCCCAAGATTATTTGTTGAAGCATTATTTGTTCATCAGCAACAACTCAAATGTCCATTAATAAAGAATCCTTAATTATAATGTATCTCCAGAGTGGAGTATTATACAGCTATAAAAGAAATGAATAATATCTTAATATACCACCATGGAATATTTCTAGTATATGTTGTTAATAAATTAAATGTTAATATGAGATCACAAAAACTCAGAACAAAAAATGAAAAATATAACTGAATTATATATTGAGTTGATGGTACACTTCTTCATAAGGGAAATATTTAAAGTGTCTTTAAAATCCAAGAGTAGACTAATGATCCCAAATGGGATAAACCCTTAAAAGGAACTGCAGAAGAAACCCACAAAACAGAAACAAAACAAAACAAACTTCAAATGTTTTCAGTAATTATATTGTTGAAAGTTTGCTATTATTATTCTGAGGATATTTCATGTTTCATGGGATAAAACAAGTGAACTATTACGTAGGCATTGTTGGGAACTAGGATTTGGGGTTGTAAAACAGATGTAGACATAAGTAAGATTTTTAAAAAGTGCTGTACTCTTGAATTAGAATTTGAATCAGAAACTTTACTATAAATGTGATATTTTATCTATGTCTCTATTTGTCCATTCTTTCTTCCTTCCTCCCTTTCTTCTTTCTTTCCTTCCTTCCTTCCATGCATCCATGCATCCATCCAATCACCCATCTTTAATCTAGCATTTTCCCCTGAAGGAACCTAGAAACAGTGAGCAAACTTTTAGCAACGAGAATCCCTAACACAGAGATGATGATCTCCTAAGATCCAGGGCTTATTAGAGAGATGCCTGACTTCAGGTCTGAGTGCAAAAATTTTCAAGAGGAACTTTCAATATGTGGTCCTCCCTGAAAACAAGAATATTATTAAAGACCACTGTGGTTGGATCAGGAGTTAGGAACACACTTGAAAGTGCTTCCATTTGAATACCAATGAAAAATAAAACTATAATGAGTTGAAGTACACCAATTATATTTTAATTTTTAAGTTTACAAAGAGTTTATGAAAAAAACAAGTTCCCTGGAAAGTGATGTCAGTGTGGCATTGACAAATCTCATGGACAGGTCAAAGGCAACAGTATGACAACAGCAATTTTACCATAAAGCAGCAGAGCAGAGGTCAGAAATTAATATTGGCATAGTAGCAGCAGCAATAGCAAGAATCAGGAGGCATCATGGAGATGCTGGGACCTGGCTAGTGGGCCAGGTCATGAGAAAGATAAAGGTTGACCTAGGCCAGGAATGACTGATAGGGACAGCAATCCACAGATAGCTTCCACCTTTCCATTCACCTCCCAGTGGTCTCCTTCCCCCGCACCCCCTTTCAGTAATTGAGGAATGAATCTAGGGATGCTCTTTCACTGAGCTATATCCCCACCCCTTTTTAAATTTTTTATTTTGAGACAGGGTCTTGCTAAGTTGCCCAGGATGGCCTTGAACTTTCGATTCTCTGCCTCAGCCTCCTGAGTGGCTGGGATTACAGTTGTGCCTGGCAGGTTGTCTCCTTCTCGATGCTATGATATAGACAATTTTAAGTGTTTAACATTAGGGAAATTAAGTCTGTTACCCTGAGAATCTCATATTCTTGTAGAAAAACATAAAGAGCTTTATTATGAAAATCAATCAATTTTATTAGAAGCCAAAACGTTTTTCTGCATTTCTTTCAAGTAGAAAATCTGTCTGAAAACTAAGATCCTCTGTAGCCATCTCACAGGGATTCGTATCTGCAAAGGGGTTTTCCCTGCAGTGTAAACACTCCACAGTCCACCAATATGTCTTCTTCACTACTGCTCTCCAAAAGCTAAATAAGTGACTCAGCTCAGTTTGGCTTTAAATTGTCTGTAGATACTATCAGGTACTTCTGCAGGGGTTATGTCTGAGTAGTGACTGGGGCTCAGCCTGCTTTGCTTGTGAGGTCTGATATATTTCCTGACTGAGGTACTATGATTGGATTTATATATTTTTATGACCGCAGGCTTATTTCCTGGTTTCTCAGATTTAAAGAAACTATTTAAATACACTTCCTTATTCTCTTTTGATTGAATCTATGGTGGTAATAAAAAAATAAAGAAAAGCTGTGCAGAGAGGCAACAATGACTCTAACTTCTAGTCAATTTGGATGACAACCAAGGCCTAAAGTGCAAGAAAATGAAAATATTCCTTGCGTTAAAAACTCTAGCAAGTGTAACCAAACCCTGCAGTATCCACGATGTTCCATATGTTGGAGAGAGAAGTGATCCATGGAGTTTTAAGCCTAGAGACCTAGAAGCTGGAAGAAGCAGTTTCATAGAATATCCTCTTACCTATCTGGTCTCATGCACAAATTTAAAATCTCCAGGTCCCACATTTACGGAGTCAATCACTGTGGATCAAAAATATTTGAAAAGAAAAGTTATGACATTGAATATGTACACTCTTTT